TCGTTTTCGCTCGCACCTTTGGATCAGGCGAATCAAAACTCGCCATCGCCACCACAATCAGTCAGGAAATGTATGCATTGTGAGATAACCAAGACTCCACAATGGAGGGCAGGACCAATGGGGCCGAAAACTCTCTGCAACGCCTGCGGCGTTCGGTACAAATCCGGGAGACTCTTCCCCGAGTACCGGCCTGCAGCCAGCCCGACTTTCATCCCATCATTGCACTCAAACTCCCACAAGAAGGTGCTCGAAATGAGAAGCAAGACCGACGACAATACTGCAATTATCACCATAAGCGTCCAGCCCGAGCTCATTCCAAACACAAACAGTGCGATTTCGATGGACTACATGTGACGAGGAGGAGGAAAAGAAGGACGACGAGGTCGAGAATCGAATTCCGTGCTCCAAGCTGTGTGGTTGTTGTGTTTACTATAATACTTGTTCTGTTTATTAGGTGGTTGTCTTTCTGTACAGGGGATGTGGGGCAACTGGGGAAATCAAGTTTTCAAAGTTTAGGAACTCAGTAGATGACAAAAGTAGAGGAGGAGGAGGAGAAAGGAAACTGATATAATGGGGAATTAGATCACAGAGAGAGATGCAAAATTTTAAGAGTAGATTTCAGATTTCAGATTTCAGTTTTAGTGAAGGGTAGGGTGTCCTTATTCCTTAAGCTTCTCTCCTTCTCTTTTGCATTCTTTTTCCCTTTTTCAATTTCTTGGTAATTCTTTTTGCAGTTCATTTGTAGTCAAAATTCTGAGCTTTTAAGTAATGAAATTTCAGGTTATTCTGCCTCTTTTAATATAAATGTCTTAGAAAGAGATGTGATGGTAATTAAACCCACGCTACAAAGTATACGAAAAGTTACAAGTTTCGTCCATCAACTTTAGAAAAAATATTGTGTTTCATATGTTTTCGAACTCGTACTAGAAAAAGTTCACACATTTTTTAGACTCAGAAACTTAATTTGTAACGTAACGAGTCCACACATCGGAGTATGCAGATTTTTGAACTTTTTTGGCAAACAAAAGTATTTTTTTAATTCAATTTGGATTTTTTTTTTTGTTTGGTAGCGTGCCTAACCAAACAAATTTAAAAAAGTTATTGAAAAAAAAAAGAATAGGCACAAATTTAAAAAAGTTATTGAAAAAAAAAGAAAAGAAAAAAAAGGTTTCCTTCAATCTCTCCATAATTGATGGTAAGAGATTGGTGATTTAAATTTGATAGGCTTTGCGTCAGGTTTGAGTTAAGTAATTGTAATGATACCAACGGGGCTGCTTTTTATTAAGCAATTTGGAAGCTTGTCCCAATCCGACCAACTCTACCAAATTCAACACACATAATTACAATTACTTTTAAAATCTGCCACTTATAAATTCATGCAAAACTTTGGCCTCATTTGCAATATTGGTCTCTAGATGTATATTTCTCCGTTAGCAAAATTTTAACATAAATCTTATACAGGATGGAAATTCTTTAGTAAATATTTATTGTTACAGTTAAAAAGGCTTAGTGAGTGGAGTGTCATGCTAATATTATGAGAGAAAGAAATGAGATAAAAATAAAAATGAAAAGAATAAAATTGTCACTTTTTAAAATTATAAAATTAAAATAAATAAAATTGAAAGTACATCGATTAAAAATAAACCAATGGATAAGCCTACCAATTTAATGAATAAAATTGTTTGAGCCAAATGTGTTTTTCTTATTTTATTTTAATTTGTTTTCACATATGGACAAAATAAATCAAGTTATTTAATCCTGAATATTTTTTTGTATACTCGGCCGTTATGAGCATGGAGGAACTCCATGATAAAGTTTTAACTTTTAACTTCAAATAATATTATGAATATATACGCCAATCTTAACCTAATTCAACTAGTTAAACATATATCTTTGATTAAAAAATCGTGTGTTCGAGTTTTCATTCTCATGTGTTATTGTATTAAAAACATATCAACCGTCTTTTATTAGCAAGAAGTTAATCGGAGGTGCAAATCCTCACTCTACGTATTATTCAACCCAAAAGAAAGGAAGCAATCTTTTCGTGGTTTTCTTTTTTTTTTTTCAAATTTGAAATTGACTATGCACATTCTTTTTCGCAACTTGCAAATATTCAAATTTGCATATAAAATTGAAATTCAAATTTTAGGGACAACAAAATTTGAATGTGAATTTTCATTCAAAATTTAAAAGAAGGTAGAAAGAATAATATGATTATTGATGTTACTTTAAATGAAAGGATGGTGAGAACTTTTTATCACATGAAAAGATGTTTCCTCAAACACAAAAGACAAAACTCTAAGATTTGTTGGATTATTACAATTAGAAAGAGACATTAAGGATTGTTTAAAAATGATTAGTTAGGTGCCATTAACCCAAAAGTCCAACCCACAACCAACCTCACCTTATTTTCAAGCTTTACCTTAGCCACTTGAGTGAAAAACATTGCCCCAAGGTGTGGCATCACTTTATTTCATGACTCTTTTAATTGTTAAAAAAAAAAATCCTACGTTAAAATTCAATTTTCGTTCTTGTACTTTCAGTCTTGGTTTGTTTTAGTCCTGTACTTTGAAAATATTTATTTTGGTCCCTGTACTTTTAATTTTAGTTTATTTTAGTCTCCGTACCTTGAAAATATTCAGTTTGGTACTTCTACTTTTAGGAGAGGATCATTTTAGTCAATCTTTACAAAATTTTAACATAAATTTTACACGTAACGAAAACTTTTTTAATATAAAGTAATGTTTATATTTTAATAAATACATCGACTGTAATGTCGTGTTGAAATTGTGATAGAAAAAATGAAACTAAAAATAAAATGAATTGACCAAAATGGTCACTTTCTAAAAGTACACGTATCAAAATAGACATTTTGAGAGTACATTGATTGAAATGAACCAAAGATGAAACTATAGGGACCAAAACGAACATTTTGAAGTATAAAGACCAAAATACACCAAAACTGAAAATACAAGTTCCAAACTAGTATTTTAACAAAAAAA